ACAGTTATGGGGGTGATTCATTTTTCTCTGCTTCTTAAAATAGTTTGGAAAATAAGACCTATCAAGGAAACAAACTAATGGACAATAAGACTACATAGAGTAGATCTGAGCAAATAAGTAATAAATCAGAAAAGTTCAGACCCAAAGTGGTTTGGGGGCATCCTTTGAAAAGAGGCTTTTAAACGGTGACTGTTAAGGAATCATTAAAAAATGGTTAGTCACAGCTACTATGTGGGCTTGTTTGATCTGTCCCACTGGGGAGATTGTAGGTGTATAATTAAGATCCGTTGACTGCTTCTAATTGGTTGAGCTTAAGTTTTGTTTTCCTTTACTAAAGGCATTTACAAGAAATGGGTAAAGTTAAGTTTTACTCGTGTTTGCAAATCACAAAGGGTTAATGATGGGGGATGTCCTTCTGTATGTTTTGAATATATGTTTCCTTTATTAGTTGATGAATAAAGATGTTTCAGCCAATGGACAGGCAGGATGTAGCCTGGCAGGAAGTATAGTCGGAATACCAGGCTAGGGGAATGCTGGGAAGAGGAACAGAGAGAGCGAGTTGAGAGGAGACCCCATGTAGCTGTTGAAGAAGGAAGAGTTCCAGGCATTCTCCAGTAAACCAAGACCACGTAGAGATACATGGGTTAATAGAAATGGGCTAATAATTAAGAGAGAGCTAGCCGATAGGAAGCCTGAACCATCAGCCAGTTCATAATCAATATAAGTCTCTGTGTGTTTATTTGGGACTAAATGGCTGTGGGACAGTATGTGAACCCAGCTTTGTGGGTTCAATCATAACTAGCTGATGACCCCACCCCCACCCCTGTTCATACCTGAGATGGGGAATGTGGATTGAGAAAGGGCGGGTAAAGATGCTCAAGAGAAAGAGAGACACAGGATAGAGTCAGAAGGGCAACTCAGTGAGTACTGAATGCCCCGAGTTTATTCTTCACTATTCTTAAATATCTTAACCAAAAAGGGGAACATGGTATCATATATATGGAACAAACAGACTTTCCTCCTCAGTTCTCCAAGGATTCAGTAACCACACCTTAGATTCAATTTCTTGTTATCTGGCGTTGAGGGTCAAGAGTAACCACACCTTATAACAAGTCTGTTGTTATTTAGGTAAGACACCCAAGGCCAAGCTCAGGCATCCTACTGCAGCCACGCATTATTTCTTCAGGTATAATGACTGAGGACAGTTTTGAACTCTCTGACCTTGAGCCAAGATGAAAAAGATTCATCTTTATGGGCCCCGACAGGACAGAAACTTCTGTCCACAGGTTAAGGGCTCTGATGAGGTTTATTTAATAGGCCTTTTATGCTCATATAGAAGTTAGGCCTGAGTAAACACTGGTCTCATAAAGCCCTGACAGGATTCAGACTCACTACTTAGCTAAGGATGATCTTGAACTTCTAATCCTTCTTACTCTACAAGTGGGATCACAGTGCGTTCTGCCGTGCCATTTTGTGTAGTCCTAGGCCTCATACACACCATTCAAGGGCTTTAGTACCTGAACTACATACATCCCCAGACCAGAATTTCTGAACACTTCTTTACAGATTACCGATGTCTCTTACTTATTTTCAACCATTATGCTGCCTTGAGAACAAAAATAAACTTGATTCTTTTCTTTTGCTGCTCACTGAGCACCTCTGGCTGCTAAACACACTGCATCTGTGTGCCTTGACCTCCAGCAGGGATACTTTCAGTGCAGGAAGTAGTGCCATCCTTCCACACTGTGCAAAGAACTCTCCTTTACCTTCTTGTCGGCTCTGCTTAGAGATCCAATAGACACCTTTCAGTTTCCTGTTGAAAACTGAATCCCAAACCAGTGCCTTCATTATCTTGTCAGCATAGAAAGTGGGAATTCCAGTCTTCCAGTTGATCAGCCCCCATCTTTATCTGTCTTTCATGGTCTGTGAGGGTAAAGCTGAGTGGTAATGCACTTGACTAATTTGTGAAAATCCTAGGTCCATCATAAAAATCACAACATAAAAATCAGTCAACCAGTCTGTCATTCAATCAATCAAACCCTCAGTCACTCAAATTACAAGTAACTGGGCGTGATGGTGCACATCTTTGATTCCATCCAGTCCTAGGGAGGCTGAGACAGGAGGATTGTGAGTTCAAGACCATCTTGACTTTATAGCAAGATTATCTCAAAACCAAAGCAAAACCTGAAAATAGATTAGTCAAGTCTCCCCCAAAATCTGTCATTGGTCTCCCAACAAATATGAAGGAAAACCTCTAAATCTTTATGAGGTCTCCTGGTTCAGCATTGTCTATTTTGTCTGTCTTATTTCTCTTCTTGCTGCCCCACCCTCCCCCAGCATACTGGATGCTGCTTTATTCCCATAAAACCTCAGGCCTGCTCACCTCTGGGCCATAGTGTGTGCTATTTCCTTGCCCATGACATCATGTTGCCCACATTCCATGGGGCTTACTTCCTTACTGGCTCAAAGGTCTTTGCAAGGAGGCATCCACTGGTTACCTGACTCAGGTTGTATTATCTACAAACAGAAACTGAGCTAGAGGTTGGCACCGAAGATATTATTATTATTAGAGCTTAACTCCTGTGATGGGGAAAGTACTAGCAAGATTAGGTAGGAATGACTATTAGTAACAGGGCTGATGAAGCCCCCTGAGGCTGAGAGCTCTGGTGCTGGTATTGACTAGCAATGTGTGCTAATTGACAGGTCTGTATGTTCCTGTCTCCCTTAGCTGTAAAATGTAAGGTACCCTGTAAAAGGGATTGCTGGCTGCTGAGCTTCTCAACAGCTAAGGCAGATCCTGATGCACCAGAAGGCCATACTGCCTCCCTTCAAGTGGCTCTGTTCAGTCATCTTTATATTCACCTTACCACCTGCTTAGAATTGTAACACCCCTATATTCCATGTTACCTCTCATTTCTTTATTTTCTTCATTGCATCCAACACTTTCTAATGTAGTTATATTATCCATTTCCTTCAGTGGAATGTCAGCCCCTTCTCTCCCTCCCTCCCTCTCTCTCTCTCTCTCTCTCTCTCTCTCTCTCTCTCTCTCTCTGTCTCTCTCTCTCTCTCTCTCTCTCTCTCTCTCTCTCTCTCTCTCTCTCTCTCCTGTCTGTGTCTCTCTGATATTACTGTAGCTGGAACTTTGTGTCTTGTGACACTATTCTTGGGAAAACATGAACAAATGTCTACACACCCCAGAGAGGGGACAGACAACAGACCAAAGTATGGATACCACTAAAATCCAATTTGGTGAACCAAAGAGTTTTATTGGGGTTACATACAAGGGGATATGGTAAGGGGCTATTTCCAAAAATAGAAAACACTCAAAGAACAGTTGTGTCATTTGAGCATGGTGACAGCTCATGAGAGCTGGAAACCTGGAGTGCAGTTCACAGCCTATAGGCAGCTCTGCAGGTGGAGAGTGTCCTTTTAAGGTAGGTTAGTTGATAGGAACCTCTTCCCAGAAGCTCGGCTGGCCTTGTCTCTGCTCCTCCAAGGCAGATCAGCTTGTCTGAGAGTCTTCTAGGTAGCATGGCTGAGTGTGTCCCTCAGCCATTTTTATTGCTTCTAACTGCTTGAGGAGGGAGGGAGGGGCCTAGAGAAGCTGGTCAGTTTCAGGGACTTCCTCAAGCTATTTTGAGTTGTTCACTTCCTGAGCTCAAAGAGCGCTTCCCTGAGGGCTGTAATGGTTCCCCTCCCCTTAGGACACCCTGTAAACACCCCCTATCTTACTGGAAGTCCCTCGTTGATGGACACTTTTAACCCCAGAGGAAACTTCCACCCAACACTCAGCTAGGTCCTTGTCCATGCTAAGTAAGCATTCTACCTCTAAACTAGTTATTTTTTCCGCTGCTGTGACACAGACTATGGGACAAAAAGCAACAGCAGGAAGGAAAGGGTTATTTTGACTCATGGTTTGTGACTCACAAACCCCTGGTGTGGGTGCACAGCGTAGTTCTAGGGCAGTACTGCAGCTTGGGTGATAGAATCACACAATGTTGTGTGGGGTGAAGGCCTGAAAGCAGAGCTATATAAAGTTTGCCCGGGTCTTATTTATGACCCTTTAAACTTACTATCAATGTCCTCCAGCCAAAGCAAGCCTGCAGGTGAACAAGTAAGGTTGGCAGAAGGTGCCTCATGGGGAGGGAGCCATTGGACTTCTGGGTAAAAGGGAGTCAGAAATGGGTAACTGTGGGCATTGACTTGGTGTTAGATGAAGGGTCAGGAAAGAGAGGGCTTTCCACTGGACAGGATGTTGGAAGGAATTGGGGAGAGTAAATACAAAATTGTGTATTCTAACCTCTTACTAGAGGGATCAAGACGAGATGGAGGATAAAGCCATAACTGGGGGTGGGGGGGGGGAAGTAGTGATTACCTTCGCCTGGACAGGAGAGTGGTTAGAGCTTTGTAGTTCGCACAATGTTAATGATCATAGAGTAGAATTAGGCTGTGTCTCTCTTCAACGGGCACACTTTATGAACACTCAGATGATGTATCTGGCCCAGCTCCCAGATTAGGGCTGCTTGTGTTTTTCTCAAAGCTATGCCTCATTAAGCACGGAGTGGTCTGTGGTTTAATTTCGAAACAAAAACATCACCATTTCCATCTCTTAAACTTATCGGTATTGTGATAACCTGTGTAAAGAAACCGAGGTGTGTTTCCCATTCAATGCCATCTACTGCACCTCAGATTTTTTCACTTTTTAACATGCCTGAAATTGGGGTGTGCCTGGCTTTCAAACAATGGCTTCTTAGAGTGGATGCAGTATAGTATTGTTTGAGGGGAAGGTGCCTATGCTCTGCTACTGCTCAAATCAATCCGTTTTCGGGAGAATGATTTGGCTTTTTCACCTTCCTCAAGGTCCTGGCTTTTCTGGAGTTGTCTCCCAGGTCACAGACCTATTTACTGCGCTGCTTTTCTAGGTAATACGGGGATGCTGCGGCGGTGCTCGCGAGCTTACAGCAGCGTGGCGCACACGCGGCCTGGTTGCCCCAAGCAACCGGCGCGTCCCCGCCCGGCGGTCAGCTGATGGGCCGCCCGCGGGGGAGGCCGCGGCGCGAACATGGCGGCCGAGATCCACTCCAGGCCGCAGAGCAGCCGCCCGGTGCTGCTGAGCAAGATCGAAGGCCACCAGGACGCCGTCACGGCCGCGCTGCTCATCCCCAAGGAGGACGGCGTGATCACCGCCAGCGAGGACAGGTAGGGTCTGGGAGCGCGCGGGGGCCAGGGCGCGAGGAGGGGGCGACCACGAGGCGTGGGGACCCTGGGATCCGTGGCTGTGCCTCTCTTCCTGTGGTCGAGCGGCCACCCCTGTCCCGCGTCCCTGCAGTCCACCGAGATCCGGGTGCGATGTGGCGGCTGTCTTACTCCTCCAGTCTGAGACCGCTCCCCCGCCGCGCGCCTTTAGTCCTGGGAACCCCAAACATTCTCCTACTGCCCGGACCTGCCCTGCCCACAGCTCTCTTTCAGTCCAGGACCTGGTTCCACAACGCCCCCTCTGTCGTGGGGCCCTGAGCCACAGAACCCTTCAATCCCGGGACCCTGTCCCTAACAGCGCCCCTCCAGTCTGGGACCCCACCTCCCAGTGCCTCTCCAGTCCAAGGTCTTCCTGACTACAGACTTCAGTTCAGGACCTTTCATCCTGGGACCTAGTCCCCCCCTTCCCCCGTTCCCTCCATCCCAAACCCCTTGCTCCCCGACAGGCCTCCAGTCCTGGGTTCTCAGTGTGCCCCTGCTACTCTGGGACGCCAGTCGCCATGGTCTTTTAGCCAGCGTTTGCCCCTCTGCCGCCCAAACCCCGTCCCTTGGTGTTACTCCAGCCCCAGATCCTTGCCTCCCGTGTCTTCCTCGTGGGAGTTCACTTGGTTCTCTAGAGTTTCTGGGTTCTCCTGGGTCCCTTCCAAGTCCCAAAGGACTAGTAGCTGATTACACTGGGACCTGGTGCGGGTGTTTATTCCTTAAAGGAACTCCAGGGACATTCACCTCCAACTTCTAGTTTGTTTGGAGTTGGGGTTGTGGAGGTGGGGTTGGGCTGTACCTTTTGATGCTTCATCTGGCCTTAGGATCATTTTTTTTTTTTTTTTTTTTTTTTTTTTTAACCACAGCCGCTAGAACTATCTGAACTCTTAATTGATCAAATAGTTGTCAAATTTTAAATAAAAATGATTCATTCTTGAACAGACTAGACATACTTCTTTTAAAAGGAAAATGTGTTTACAAGTAAATAATTTTGTTTACAAGTAATTTATCTCCACAAGTAAGAAACGGAGTGTCATCTATCACAAGCCATGTTACCAGTGTTCCCACGGTTTTGCCTGTCAGCACACTCTGGAAAAGACTCATTTGGTCCAGTGGTTTCACTTAAGGGGAAGTGAAGCCTCAGAAGTGTAGGTAGCTTTTCTGAGTCAAGGAGATTCAGAGGAAGCCAGATGTGGGTCCCAGGACTTGTCATCTGTCCTCTGGTTTTCAGGTCAATGTAAAGTGACTGTTGCTTTAAAATTGTAGCAAGTTTGAAACCTTAAAGGTTTAAAACACAGTTGAGGGAAACACTTTCCTTGTAGTCTTGAGCAGCGGTGGGCCCAAACTGGAAAGGCTTTGGCGAGAATTTCTACTATTCTCTAAAAGCTGGAGGCAGAGGCCAGCCGTTTGTCCTCACGCCTTTTGAAGTGAGTGAAACTGAAGGCCTGCCCTGGATGGGAAAAGGAAATTTGAAGCCCCTAGCTTTCTGTTTGGCTGTTGAAGGAGTTAGGGCTTTCCCCTCCAGATTATGGGGTGTGTGAAACAGAAATAGTGTGTGGAACGTGGGAACATGAGAGAGAAGGGGATGCAGACAAGGCAAGCGCCAGAATAATGGTACTTGCATGATATAAACAGGAATGCACACAAGTTTATTAAAGTCCGCAGGCTCTATTCAGTAAAATGTTTTATTTGTGACTCATGCATGTTGGGTAAATTGCTGAGTGTCTGAGATAACTTGGTAGGAGCAGTGCTAATAAAGATTTTTATGGAAAGAGATTACTAAGCTCCTTTGGGACTCAGGGGAGTCCTGGGTCAGCTCTTTTTTTTTTTTCCCCCACTCCTCTGCCCCGCAGGTTCCTGGCAAATGACCAGACCACCAAGGAGTCGCTTGCTACTAAAGGTTTCTGATGTGTATGTTAAGCTCTTTTGTAGGTACCACAGTTTGTTGGATTTAATGAATTTGAGCTGTGAGTTTTGTTTTGTTTTGACAGTTTTTTCTCTCTAAACTGTCATGTTTGTCATACTCTTCATTCATTCATTCATTCACTTAGGAATTCTGTATCTATTGAGTCTGAAGTCCTGGAGTAAAAGAGGGATCAAAAGCCACAGTGTCTGTGCTCATATAACTTCTGATTTATTGCTCTTTATGGCTCTTGAGCCACAGAAGCCTGTATATATGTCTGAGGGCTTAGAACACTGACTTCCCTTATTCAGCCAAACATGCGTCAGACATGCCTGTTCATTCATCTCTACCATAACTATAAAGGCAGCTGACATTGAATTAGCTCTTTTCAAGTGCTGGGCAGTATACTGAGGACATGGCCCTTCATACTCCACTCTCTGCCAAGAATATTACGGCACATAAGGTAGTAGAGCATACCATATTCTGATGGCCATTCTGACAGGTCACAAAGCTGAGACACAAACCACACTTGCATAATCACCAAGGCCACAGAGCTATTATGTGGTAGGACTGAGATCTGAATCCAGTTCTGCCAATTCCAACCCATGTTGTTCTTGTAATCTACCTTGGTTAGAAGAGACCGAATCCAGGCTGTGTCCGGTCAGCAATGTACTGTGCCAGCAGCAAACAGAAAACAGCAGGACCCACCTTTGATACTTTTAAGGCGGCTTTGCAACTTTTGCTTTAATGCTTACAAAAGTAACTTTTTGTATACCTTTATTTGTGTATATGTAAATGTGGATGAATACATAGCACTGTGTGCCTATGGCAATCAGGTTGAGCTTTCTTAACAGCCATGTTTTAGTTTGCTTTATAAAATTCAGGAGTTCCTGTAACTCAGGATGGCCTTGAGTAAGTATACTGTGCAGTTTCGGGGTGGGTGGTCTTGAACTCAACTCTCTTGCCTCCACCTGTTCTTGCTAGAACTATGGTCATGGTCATGTACTTTTTTCTTTTCTTTTTTTTTTTTTTTTCTGTTTTTTTGAGACAGTGTTTCTCTGTGGTTTTGGAGGCTGTCCTGGCACTAGCTCTTGTAGACCAGGCTGGTCTCAAACTCACAGAGATCCACCTACCTCTGCCTCCTGAGTGCTGGGATTAAAGGTGGTACTTCTTTATTTTCTCACTGCATACGTAGCACAGGCTGTCCTAGAACAACCCCTTGAGTGCAGTTGTAGTTATGTATTGCCACAAATCTACTTAGGAAAGTAACTTTGAATGTTTATAGCAGGGTCCAGCTGAAGTTAATTTGTCACATAAAAGCCACCGAGAACGAGAATGTCCTGAAAGGAAAAGCTAAAGAATCAAGAGGCTTCCTGAAGTCAGGGCCCACTTTTTCAAAGTGTGTGCCAGCCATTCCACTGCCAAGGGTGGCCCCCAGGGAACATTTGAAACTGTCTGCATTCACTCTGGGTTTCAGGGCAAAAGACACTGCTGGCATATGGGCCTGTGGCAGGCCCACAGCTCAGCATCCTTCCAGTGCCAGGGCCACTGCTCAACATCCTGTGGTACACAGAGCCCAGTCGCCAGTCTCTCTGCTCTTTAGAAAGTGGCTTTCAAGCTTGAGTATTTATTAGAATCTCTTGGAGCTCTTGTAAACCAGTGACTGCTGGGCCTTACTCCTGGAGATTCTGATTGGGAAATTGAGTCAGGGCTGTGGGGGTCTGAGAGAGCTGCCATTTCTCTCAAGTACTCAAGGGATGCTGCTGATCCAAGGACCATACTCAAAGTGCCCGTGTTGTGCAAGAAAGGGGGTTTGTGCATCAATCACTAGAGAAGGATGCTTATTACATCTCCCCTTTAAAAAAAAAAAAAAAAGGTTTCTTTTTAAATTGTGTGTATATGTCAGTCTGTGCACTGTGAGTGCAGGTAGCCTTCACAAGAGAGTGTTGGGTTCCATGCCGTGGAGCTATTCTGGGAACTGAACTGCGGGCCTTGGTATGTGCTCTTAACTGCTGAGCCATTTCCCCAGCCCTCCTCTGTCTTTCTCAGCAGTTTGAATATGTTTCCCTGGAGTTATTTTACAGACACCCACATACCAACAAGTACCCTGTCTGACGGTTCCGGAATACCCAACGTAGGCAACTTGGAAGAAGAAGAGGTTGTCCTCCTGGTTTCAAGTTGTAGTCACTTAGCCTTGTTGTCTTGGGGCCTTTGGCAGGGCAGTGCATTATTGTAGGGAGAACATGGCAGAGGAAACTTCGAACTCCAGTGAAGCTAAAAGAGAGGAAGGGCTAGGGTTCCAGCATGCTCTTCAGGGGTATACCTCCACCTTCAATTGCTTCCTCCAGCCACATCCTAAAGTTTCCCAAACCTCCCAATAGCATCACCGGTTAGGGACTAAGCACATTACCTTTTGAGGGCTATTTAAGATATAAACCATGAGCTGGGGAGATGGCTTAGTGTGTAGGGCTACTCACTCTGCAAGCATAAGGATCTGAGTTCAAATCTCTACACCTACGTAAAGAGCTGGACATGACTATGCATGCCTGTAACTCCTGGTTGGGGGTTACAGACAGGTGGGTCTTGCACACTCACATGTATACAACACACACACCCCACACAAACATTCAAAGCCTAACCCCTCCTTTCCAGTAAAATCAGACTAACATAACAGCTGAATATACTCTACCCTCTGAAGTCAATGTGGATAATGAGGCTTAATTGGGATCCTAAACTTCCTAACTAAGAATTATTTGAGCAGTGAGTTAGTAAAGTAGTAATGTTTTCCTGTTGGGGAAATTAAACCAAGACCACCATCAAGTGTTGTTCAGTGGTAAATTTAAGAATTGGAGGAGGAGGAGGCAGAGTTGGAAGCTAAGATTCATTCCCTCAGGGCAGAGTTGAATTGTTTAAGGCTGCAGGAACTGATTCCCTGGGCACATGAACTCTCCCAAGACTGTACAAAAACGTCAGCTGGTCAGATGTGGACTTTCAAAGGTGGAAAGTCTTGTTATAAAGCAGCAGCTACAGACCTCCTGTCTTTGTTTTTAACCCAATT